GTGTCAAAATACGATTAGATTAGCTACAAAGATAGTTATAGAGAGGATCATGTAAACAAAGAAAAATGTTAAGGTGAATTAGAAAAAGGAAAATATCTAAATGAACCCTGGGGTAAAATTAGCTTTTATGGTGAGAATTTGCTTGTTACTAACAATGGACAATGTAAAGCTCATGAATTTTCAAATCTTATCAAATTATCAATCATCAGATTATATCATCAGATTATATCATCAGATTAGATTATACATCTGTTAAAAAAAAAGGGATGCAATTACATGATCATTTTCCGGTGTTCAGTTGTTCTGACAGGAATTGTATGATTATTCATTCAGTTGTTGCGGAAATGACGAATGCAATACTAAAAGTAATGAAAAAAAAAACAAAAAAGTAAAAATAATAGATGATTTAAAATTTGTCGAAGAAATGCCATCAAAATCAAATCACATTAATATTTAATTATTTCCAATTACATTTACAATACTCTTTGCAACTCATTAAACTTATAAAGTTATTTGCCCAAATGAATTTATGAATGACATTAACAATTTAGTGAAAAATATTTGAACTATTCATTCATATATTTAAAAAAATTTGTTTTGAAAAAAAAAACGATTAATAAATAGGTATTATCAGAGGAAGTATATATTTGATTAATAGTTATTATCAGAAGAAGTATAGATTTGATTAATAGCAATGAGTGAAACAATTGAATGTTAGTCCCCAAAGTTGATATTTTGTGAAATAGCTCTCTCCGTTCAATAATCATTCAGTGCTAGTGCAATTTCACTTTTTGCTGTAAGCTTAAAACAAAACAAAGAATTTTTTTTCCTTTTTTTTTGAAAATGCTTATTCAGAATAAATGCTATGATAAGATCATAGTCAATTTCTAAATGCTTTATCATTTATCATTTTAGAAACTTATTGCATTTGTTCTAGGTCCCTTTTCATTTTTTTTGTTTTCTTTTTTTTTTTATTTTGAAATATGCTCTTCAATTTGCTTTTCCAATTCGTTAACACAGGAAGATATTTTTTCTCTTTTTTCTATTTTATCTGATTTTTTAAGTTTCACAATTTTTTTTTGTTGTTTGAAATAAAGTATAATATTTAGGAAGTAATCGTGTAAAATGTAAAAAATAAATTCACGAAAAAAGACATTGTATGAAATATTTTATTGAAATTTCTGTTTTAGAATTTGGCATTTTGTTAATTATTGTTTTTAGATTTTTCATTTTTTCAAATTAACACAAAGCTATGGCAATTTGCTCAGTTTAATCTTTAAATTTCGAATGATATATGTATGGAATTAATTAATTTTTGCTTATCGAACTTTACTGTTATTACTTTTTCTGCCCTCAATATATATAAAGCTATAGGAGGTGATACCGATAATTTATTACTGTAAATTCCAGTTAGATTGATTACAGTGACTTTCAAACATATATTAATGATCATAAAAATTTAGATTGAATTTATTCAATTCCATTTTTTTGTATTATGAAATATTGTAAAATAACGATAATATTTTTGAAAATGTATTGAATAAAT